ATCTCCACCTCCTCAACCCAAAAAAAAAAACCTAAAAAAAAAAAAAAAAAAAACTCACCTCATAATAATGCTCAAACTTGATCCGATCATTAATATACCAACAACACTTCACCACCCCCAAACAATAAGCCCTCAGCACAACATGCATCGTCTCCCCCTCCCCCACTGCTTTCCCCCTAATAAAATCCGCATCCCCCAAAACCATCGGCTCCGGCTCCAGCATCCGATCAATATACACATTCGTCAACAACGTCTGCGAAAGAGGATACCCCTGATACCAAGCCATCTCAAGACAAAACATCTGGTCAATAATCCCAATCACCTCCCCCGGACTCAACACCCTCGTCACATCATAATCCTCATCCAGGCTCTCCCCGGGAGCAAGACAGCCGCTGTCCATCTTCGGGTCCATGATCTATTTATTTCCTGTTAGCCCTCCACCCCCCCCCCCACTTGTCTCCCCTGCTCAAGAACGCACCTCTAAAGCGCCCACACTCTCAAACAAACTGAAAAACCCATCCTTGACTAATTCGCCCAGTTCCAACGCTGTCACTGTCAGCACTCCTTCTCGTGATATTTCATTTCATAAAAGGAAAACTCACCCCCAGCAGCAGCTCTAAACTTCGACGTCACGTCAAACGCCATGATCCCTTGCTGATCACCACCCCCCATGATAAAGTCCGGTGGTGGCGGTGGTGGCGGTGGTAGTAGCTCCTCCTCGTAAGGCTGATACCCCTGACCCTGCTGCGCTCCAAAATCCCCAAACCCAAACAACCCTCCTCCTGCTGCTGCGTGGTGATGGTGAAAAGGTTGTTGCTGGGGGGTGTTGTTTGGTGGGGTTGTTGTCGTGCTGGTGGTGGTGGGGTTGAGGGATAAGTCGTTTAGTTCTACCCATTGTCCATCAGTAAATCCGCTTTACCAGATTAAAAGAAAAAAACGGACGGAGATATACCTACTTCTGGTAAGATTCTCCGGTTCAGAGTCTGATGTGTTGCTCATTGCGTGAGTTGTTGTCAAGCGTTAAAGTGAAGGTGGGAAAAATAAATGTTCTGGATGGGATGGATGGAATGCAAAGAAGGCAGAGAGAAGAAGTATGACTGGAGCCTCTCTGCCTGACTGCTTGCTGTAAGTTGATCCAATGAAAATTGTAGCCTTCTTTTATATGGAGAAAAAAAAAAGACAAGGCCCTGAGAAATGATAAAATGCAACGGATTTTTAGTTAGTTAGGTCTTGCGTCGTTAGTGGCGTATGACTTGCAGTTTGCGTCTACCCTGACTGTTGGGGGTAATGGTGCAGTATGAGGTGAGTGAGTGAGCTGTGGTGGTGGTGGTGTGCTAAAAGGTGGGTGAGTGGGTGGATATGCTTGGGGCGCTTGACCACCCCTCTCTCCCATGGAACTGGGTTTGCTATCTGCTGCGGATGCCCGGACTTCCATATAAGTTTGACATAGGTAATGGAACGATACCCTCTGAATTGCAAAGTACATACAATCTAAGAAATTCTCTTGTAGTCTGCTGAAGAATGAGCTTCATGGGATTGGTGCTTGTAACATCACACCAAACAACAACAGTGACATCAACCTTCCATCCACCACCTTGATAGCTTCATAGGTCCAGGTATTTTTGCATTCCCCCCTTCACCCAACTATGATACAAGGCCCCAACCGGTCAGGCAGCGCAGTGCTTCCCATCTCTCGCTCCCAAAAGAACCGCACACAGCACCTCCCCAAACCCCGTCTATACCATTGCCGTAGTGTGTCGAGTGTTGCGCTCCATCCCATTCGGCGATTCCAACCCCCCTACACCGACTCCTTTCAAGCCATTTTCAATGTCGGGAATTTACTGGCCACCCTGAGCAGCACTCTCAACAGCAGCCGCAGCGTTAGCCTGCTCAAGGTTCTTAAGCTCGCCCTGCTTTCCGTTCTGTCCTCCCCCCCCCAGTACCAATCAGCTATCCAATCCCTCTCGTTTCAACTCCTCAAGATGTGTGTGTGTACTCACCGACCACTTCGCAAACCTAATCTCAGAAACACCTCTGCGCTCAGCAGCAAGTCTCTTCTCCTCCTTCAAGCTGCGGCGCACAACCCGGGAGGCAACGGCCAGGTAGCGGTTGTAGCTGTTTGTTGCCCCAGTCAGCACAAATCTGTTCCCTTTCTCCCTTTCCCAATCCAATTCCATCTCCAATCCCCCAATCTCGGTCGTTGTCGTCCACATCCCCCCTCCAGCTCCCTCCCCCACCGTCCCTCCCCAATTGATCACAAAAAAAAAACGACTCACGTAAGGCCAGCGGCTTTCCACGCAAAGGTCATTTTGGCGATTTGTTACGTTGCGACGTCGAGAAAGTAAAGTAATCAGTCGGTCGGCGTGGATGCGGAATGGGTTGTCGAGAAGGTACAGGCGAGCGGATTAATGGACCTGAAAAGCTCCAACAAGCAATCAACCAAGCTGGTTCGTCGGGTGCAAACCGAGAAGCTCCGCCGCCCGCCCCTCCCCCTACCCGAGCTCCGGGTCACGTGATGGCCTTTTACATCATCTCATCACCACAACCACACAGCACAATGAATGAGTTGTCTGTCGTAAAAGGGAGGCATCGTATATACCATGTTCACAAGTCATATACAAAAGAAACATATTCACGGAAGCTTCAGTTTTAAAGCAAAAATTTCAACCACCCCTCTCAAGTGCCCCTCCTTTCTTTTCTTTCTCTCCCATCTCTCAGGCGGGTATGTTAACAGTACAGGGCTTCTCTCTTTCTCATCACACATCTCTCTAACCTCACCCCCCTCACTCCAATGTATACTCTTCCCCAGCCTCCCCAGCTTGATTCGTAGGTCAGTGAACAAGGTAGGAAAGTGGGTTTTAAGTCTAGTGGTCACTATATGCACAAAAAGGGTACCAATGCCGCAAGTCTACCAAACGGCAAACACCGAAGGACTGTTATACAGATTCTCTTTTCCAGTTCCGTTTTTGTGATCCCCGGATGTCAAATTTCTGCAACACCGCCGTTCCCGTTTATACCTGAAGGCCGAGGTCCTCAGCGAAAGGGAGCACGTGGAGGTCACCAACCGACGCCACCGAAGCCTTGCCCTCGAGGAGAGCCTTGGCAGCCTGTGAAAAGAGTTAGCAATACATCCAAAACCAGATTTATGAGAGGAAAACCTACAGCCTTGAGCTTGTCACCGGTAACAGACTCGAAAGCCTTGAGAGTCTCGGCAACCTTGAGGGGAGAGCCGCCGTGGATCAGGTTGGCACCGGCGTGGACGATGCCAACACCGCCAACCTCGCTGCCGGAAAGGAGAGTGAACTTGGCCTTGGCAATAGCCTTGACCAAAACCTCCTGGGAGACACCGCTCTCAGCAACGCCCTTGAGCGCCTTGACGGCAGCCTCGGCAGTCTTCTTGACGGCCGCGGACTGGCCGTTGATCTGGATGGCGAGGAGACCAGCATCAGAGTAGGCGTAGTTGGTGGCCTTGGCCTGGGCACCGGGGGCGGCAGCCTGGGACAGGAGGGAGAAGCCGGGAGACCACTTGATGGTGGACTCGCCGCCGAGGAGACCGGCAAGGACGGCAGTCTCGGGGCTGCTGGCACCGAGGGAGGCACCGGGGAAAGCGATAACAACCGAGTTCTGGCCGACGGCGGAGATGCGCTGCTCACCACCGTGGTACTTGGAGGCGACGTTGTTGAGGGAGCCGGAGCCCTGGGCCGAGACGGTCTTGAAGAAGGGCTCGATCCACTTCTGGAGGCCGTGCTCGCTGGCACCGTCGGAGACAACGGCGATGTTGGACTTGGAGTAGGCAGCGGCGGCAAAGTCGGCAACGGCCTGCTCGTTCAGGTAGGAGTCGATGGGTGTGCTTGGGGTGGGATAGAGAGGGGCACCGAGGCCAGAGTGGAAAGCGACGGCGTGGGCGGCATCGAGGGCAACGGCGGAGGCGTCCACCTTGGCCTGCTTCTGGTGAATGATATCCTTGACCTCCTCGTGGAACTCGTGAGCTGTTCAACCGTGTCAACAAAGCTGTTCCCTAGTCCAACCAAAAAGTCTATATTATAACGCACTGGTGTACCGCGTCTGCGAGACCACCTCGGCAAGGAGCTCGGTGAAGTAGGGGAGGTCCTCGCGGAGGAAGCTGGCTTGCAGCACAAGGGCCTCGCGGGTGTGGTAAGCAGTCAATTGACCGCCGAGGAGCTCGGCCTCACGGGTGATGCGGAGAGCAGAGCGCTTGTTGGTGTTCTGGAGGCCCAATACAAATTAGCTCATCGATGTCCCTGCCTTGCTGAATCGCGCCCCATGGCCACCACCACACCACTTGTCTCGTCAAAAAAACCAAAAAAAAAGGGGCCAACCTGCCTTGTAGGCAAACTCCTCCAGTCCAACCGTCAGTCCGGGGAGGGGCTCGTATCGGGTGCCGGCCTTTGCGACGACGGCGAGGCGGGTGGTCGGGCCATTGTCGTCTCGGGAAGCAACCTTGACGCCGGCGATGGTAGTGGGCTCGTACGAGGCCTTGGGTGAGGCAGCAGCAGCGAAACCGCGGGCTCCCTGGCGCCCGAGGGCCAGCTTGCTGCCTCTCGACAGAGCCGATCTGCAGATCATGGTTGGGAGGGAGGGGTTGTCGTCAATTGACACTGATAGAGGTTCGCCGCAGCTTCGTGAAGGGAGCTGTGATACCAACAGCTAGTTCCGAAAATTCCCTGGGCGTCTCCCGGTATGACGGAAAAATTGGCTGTGCCGAGACCGTGGCACCCGGTCGCTGTGTACTTTTGGGGCGTAAACCCACAGTGCAGCCTTCCCTGAGGGGTCCGTTTGGGCCTGCGATGTTGACGTCGTGGGGTTTGGATGATATAAAATTAAACGTTGCCCCGAGGGTGGAAAACGCTTGAAAAAGGTATTACTGGGAATTTTCGATATTCAGATCTCTATTCTACTGCTCTGTTCATCTGTCCACCCCCTCTGGCCGTCACAAGCCAATATTTGCATTCATTACACCATTTCTCGAACCCAGTCCCTTTAGCAGCCTCTGCACCTGAGCTCAGCGTTGTAAGCAAGGAAGCGCAGGCTGTGATTGGTTCGTTTCAGAATCTGGAGCTGCCCCGCGAAGGCCGCGCCAAATTTGCCGTTCGGTCGTGACTCTGCGACTGCGGCTGGCAGCTGCTCAAAAATTGTCATTGAACTTTCTCCATCAAGCCCGAGTCCCCCACCACCCAAGCCATTTTCCCTTCCACGCTGCACCTTGTTCGAGGTCGAGGGCCTTCAATGACTTTCCGGTAGTATCTGTGACCAGCTCTAGAGATAGTGAGAGGATCTCTAGAAGCCATTACAAACTAATCACCTACATTTCATCCTGATATATACGATACATCGCGCGCACCATCCCGCCATCATGTTGGTGGTGAGTACAGCCCCGCGATGTCATTCAAACCTCAAAGCGACGACCTCCATGAACTAACAATTTCATTGTCAGACCGCGCCTCTCGCAGAGTTTTGCACTCTGACCATCGACGAGATCTATGGCGAGCTGCCCTCGAGGATCTACGCATCGCTTCTCATGCGAGGCAGAAGCACGATCCAACAGCTCGCTGGTGACACCGGCATGAACGCGCGCCAGCTCCGTCACGGTCTCGCCCTGCTTTTGCAGCATAATTTGCTGCACTACCATCTCGATGCCGGGTCACCCCACTATTTCTACGAGGCCAATGTTGAACATGCCTACAACCTCGCGCGTACGGGGAAAATCCTTCAGATGGTCGAGGAGACCCATGGAGCGGCTGCCAAGGATGTGATGCAAACCATCATTCTGACCGGCTTAACACGAGTCGGCGATCTTGTGGATGCGTACCAGAATCGAATCGACAGGATGAACAGAATCAAGGAGAAGCTCAAGGCAGAGGAGGATCCATTCGGCAATGGCGTAGAGTCGCATGAAGTCAACGGCGAACCCAAGCCCAAGCCAACCCCCCAATCCAGCAAATCGGACCCCTTGATCAGCAGCATCGCCGACCTGAACAAGATCATCTACAAGCTGGTTGAGGCCGAGCTACTTATTGGGGTTCACAAGACAAGCTTCGAGAGTCCCGAAGACCTGTTGGCGACCATCGAGTCCGACATCCAAAAGACATACCCTGGCGGCGAAGTCAAAGGAAACAAGGCCAAAGCCGAGTACAAGGACAAGGTGGCTGAGGCGTTGCGCAAAAACCGAAGTGAATCGAGATCCCTGAAGCGGAAACTGGAGCAGAATGGCTTGTCTGCAAAGCGACGCAAGCTGTTCGACGGTGCCGCTTCGGCCAATGGTACGCCTGATGGAGAGATGGACCTTGGTATCGATGTGGGTGACCGTCGTGGTTAGGTTGGTGACCAAGGAGTGTTGCTGACTTTGTTTTAGCCACAACAAGTGATGTGTATCAACTACGAAAAGTGCCTTGTGGAGCTACGGAATCGTCGCCTCATGCACTATGCTGAGGAGGCCTTTGGACAGACGACTTCTTGGGTGTATGCCTCGCTTTTGAACCTTCTTAGCAAGGACATCTCTCGCTGCCGCGACGACCCAATCACCGATCATTATGAGAAGGATGAAGAGAAACCTGCGCCTGTTGTGGTCACGACATCACAGCTTCTGGACGTTCTGAAAACCAGCCTTGATCTTTCTGTGGGGCTCGGCCAAGTGGATGCCGACAAGATCTCGGTCACAGCCGCCGAGAAGATTGCAGAACTGCCGCCGAGGAAGAAGTTCTTCATTGACGTCCAAGCCGAAGCTGACGCCAATGCTAGCTCCGATGATGATGATGAAGGGGAGGATGTCAAGCCCGCGACAAATGGTGTTAACGGGGTGAATGGGACCCATGTGACGAACGGCGTCAATGGGACGGCCAAACGGGTGGACCGCCGAACTCAGCTCCGGCAACACTTGTTGCTTCTATCAGAAAGCACGCAGGGCTTTTTGCGGCATTGTGGAGCGGAAGAATGGACGGTCGACTTTGTACCGTTGATGGCAGCCTTGCGACAGGCCGAAATCGATGCGACCATTGAGAATACGGTAGGCCGCGAGGGTGTTCGACTAGTGCGTATGCTGCGGGCCAAGGGCAAGCTGGACGAGAAGGCGATTATGAGCGTAGCTCTCATGCGAAAAGCCGACATGTCGAAAAAGCTGGCAGAGATGCACAAGTACGGTTTCGTTCAGACGCAAGAAGTGCCCAGGGAGGCCAAGGCAGACGTGAAGAAGTCATTCTTCCTCTGGTATTTCGACGGCACCATGGCGCTTGAGCGAATTCTCGACGTTTCGTACAAGACGATGATCCACTCCCTCCAAGTGCTCGATACGCTTCGGGAGAAGGACCAGCACGTCTTGTCCCTGATCAAGCGAAGCGACGTCAAGGGTCAAGAGGACGACAAATTGCGCAAGATCCATAAGGAGAAGCTCACTCAGTTTTTGAAGCTCGAGCGGATGTTACTTGGTCAGATTCAGCGTGTGGACGACCTGGTCGCCGTGCTGCGGGACTACTAATCGGGGGATGGAAGAACAACACATATCATTCGATGGAGCTTTGTGCGATACCAGGTTCTAACTCATTTACATGGGCGGCGCAAGGGGTAAAATTCCTGGAAAGGATACTGGCATTGGCAGGACAAGTCTTTTTACACACAGCCAATTATAGAGCTGCGAGTCTTGTTATGATAGACATAATAAAAACATTTGTATATATACTTGACTTGAAGACAAGTGAAGTGGGAATTGCTGATAAGATAACGATAAGATGGGACAAGACGAGTCCGGGCACCGCTGTCGGAGCTAACGCAAGGCACATGGGTCGATGCGCCAGGGACTCGCGAGTCGCTGGGGACCAGAGCCGGGACCCGCCAGAAATTTTTCAAGAAGCGGGACGAAAACCTATCGGAGCGCCGTCATCGCGGATACACTTCGGAGAGCTGCTTCTTTTTCTTCCCTCTAGTAGTTCGTTGTCAATAGATCTCCGGCCGGTTGTCTGCTTTTTCTTCTGCCATTGCTGCCGTTGCTTGCTTCTTTCTACAGCAGTTATACAATAATTTCTATACCCCTCCATCCACCACCCCACACCTAAATCAACATGTCTCCCATTGCGGCTGGTGGCAGAGAGAAGGAGTCCAACCTGGCGAGGTTGTTGGGTTCCGGTATGTTTGACTGCAAGAGAGAGGTTATGGGAGTAGTAAACTGATCAATTGATTTGTAAATTAGGATCTGCCGGTATTGCCGAGTTGGCTATCTTCCATCCTGTGCGTTTATTATTGAGTTGGCGATTCTCGAGGATTGACGGTGGGGTTATTGAGGGTGGTGGGCTAACGAGAGGGATCATTATACGAATTAGGTTGACACAATCGCGAAGAGATTGATGTCCAACGAGGGCAAGGTACTTTTTCCGTCATTCTTACCCATCGCGTTGAGAATGATTGCTGACCCCAAAGAAAAGGTCTCGTCCGTCGCCAAGCTCAACACCGTCATCTTCAAGGACAAGGCCAACGCCTCCGCCGGCCGCAAGTTCGTCTCCCTTTTCCCTGGGCTGGGGTATGCTGCTGGGTACAAGGTTCTTCAGCGTGTGTACAAGTACGGTGGTCAGCCCGTGGCGAGGGATTACCTTGGTGTGCATTATGGCAAGGATTTCGAGAACGCGTTTGGCAAGAAGACTGGCAAGGCGATTATGCACTCGACTGCTGGTAGCTTGATTGGTATTGGCGAGATTGTGCTCTTGCCGTTGGATGTGCTCAAGATCAAGAGGCAGACCAACCCTGAGGCGTTCAGGGGGAGGGGTGTGCTCAAGATTGTGAAGGATGAGGGTTTTGGGCTTTACAGAGGGTGGGGGTGGACTGCTGCGAGAAACGCCCCTGGGTCGTTTGCTGTAAGCATTCTGTTCTCTTTTCCCCCTCCTGATGGAACATGACTAACGAGATGTCACATAGCTCTTTGGTGGTTCCGCCTTTGCGAAGGAATTTCTCTTTGGCCTCAACGACTACAACAAGGCATCGTGGTTCCAGAACTTCATCGCCTCCATCGCCGGCGCTTCTGCGTCTCTTGTCGTTTCGGCCCCCCTCGATGTCATCAAGACCCGCATCCAGAACCGCAACTTTGACAACCCCGAGTCTGGCTTCCGCATCCTGACCAACATGGCCAAGAACGAGGGCGCCGGCGCCTTCTTCAAGGGTCTCGTGCCCAAGCTGCTCATGACCGGTCCCAAGCTGGTGTTTTCGTTCTGGCTTGCGCAGACGTTGATCCCTGCTTTTGATGCGGCTTTTGCGGGGAGGAAGGTCGAGGTTGAGAGGAAGTAGGGAGATGGAATAATGGGAAAGGGAAAGATAGAAAGAGGGCGGGGGGAACCATATGAGTGTATGATATGAATGGGAAGATATCAATGGCGGATCTTTTGGCAGGCGTTGATACACACGGAGGAAAAGGGGAGTGGAAAAATGGAAAAGGCAAAGCAAGCGAGCAAAAAAAGGGTAGATAGACACACCGGGGATTTTTTTTTTTGCTTTTTTTGGCTGGGCTTTTTATATAACTCCTCTTTGATCAAAAAAAGATGAAAATAACTCTCCGTATAATCATCGTGGGATATTGACAAAGGTCTCAAATTTCACATGCCGTTGAACCAATTGCACAAGATGGTAACTAAGATACTTTCAAATAACATAAACTTCCTACGGGGGGTATCTATTTCCTCTCAGCAAAGCAACTCACCCCCCCACGCTTATGAATACCTCTCTCTCTTCCTCTCCAAAATCCAAAATTGGGTCTCATTCCCAAACACTCCCTCCCAACCCCATCTCCAACCTCCTCATCTCCTCCTCCTCCTCCTGCATCCTTCTTCCTTCTTCTTCGTGCCTCTGTTCCCTTGCCATATCCCTCACCGCAGAATCAACATCCCACAACCCCCCTCCCACACCAAGGAAATCATCCAGATTCTGCAACACATCATTCACCACATCCTGTGACTCCCCTTCCACTACCTCCTCCTCATCTTCAATGACTATCCCAAGCTGGGAATCAAGCTGTGGCTGCAGCAACACCTCCTCCTCCTCCTCCCCCCCTTCAACCCCAGCAGTTCTCCCCGAGTTGTTGTGTGAGTCCGCAAAAAAAACAAACTTCTCCGCCATGGCCTCCACCCCCGGACTGTCACACCCCTGCTGGCTCTCACTCGGCAACAACCTCTTCTGTGTGTCTCGAAGTTTAGCCACCGGGTTGGCAAAGGTCGTGTGGCCGAGGCGTTTGGTAGCCACCTTTGCAAAGTGCTTGGAAAATTTCTCCGTTTCCGCTATCGGGAGGTCAGATGACAAAATTGATGGTGGTGGGGAGGAGGGTCGCGTTTTGGGGTGGGGGGAAGAGACTATTGGGGTGATGGGTGTGCCGGAGGGAGTGGTGGAGGGGTATTCAGCTGAGAAGTAGGGGGATGATGCTAGGTCTAATGCAGGGGGAGTTTCGCCCGGTAAAGGCGCAAAGGTGACGCGTTTCGTTTTTCGTGACATCGACGGGGTGGTGGTGGTTGACAGTGTTTGTCGGAGCAAGGACTTGGGTTTTATTGTATTAGGTGTCGGTCTCCGGCTGCTAGACAGCAGACCTGGAGACCAGGGGTTGGCGGTGGCGGCTTGGAAAAGGAGTTGGGTGCTGCTTATAGGACCTGTGTTGTTCCTCGCTGAGGACATCCCGGATATCTTCCTTCTTTTGGCTGGTTGAGGGGAAGGGGTCATGAAATCCCTGAAGGACTTGGTAGAGAGGCCAAAACTGTTGGTATTCCCAGGGGTTCGCTGGGCGGGTTTGTTGGATTCGGGGGTTGATAGCTGGGCTATTGACGCTTGGGAGTTGTTGGTATCTGAAGGAAAAATTTGAGGTGGTGGTGTCTCGGGTCTTTGTAGGACGGCGCTGTTGGCAGGAGAAGAGAATGGAACAAAAGAGCGGATTTCGGGAGCTGGTGGAATTATCACCTGGAGTTGAGAATCGCCTCTCGCCCAAGGACTTTGAGATACTGGTAGTTGACAAGAATCCGGAACTGTGAGGGCAACAATTCTGCCGGGAACTGGCGTCTCAATATTGATAGCCAGTGGTAGTGATACTGTATCAGTTGCCCAGGGGCTTTGCTCAACCGATACCGGAGAAGAAGACCGATGTGATGAGATGGAAGCAGGCTCCCTTTCATGAGCAGTCTCCGTCACTTCCTGTTTGGCCACCGTTTCGGTGTCAATTTCCATTTCTTCTACCTCACTCGCAGCATCAATCCCGGGCGCCTCTTTTGCAACTGTAGCTGGTGAATTTGGTTCGTCTCTGGCTTTCCCCGAGGTTTCCTTAGCGTGATCCAGTGCCATTTCTGGGGTTGCAATGCCAGATGAAGGTGACGATGCAGTTTCGTCAGATAGGCTAGAACAAGGCGCTGCGTGGATTGGCTCTTCCTGAACGGTGACAGCCTCAGCGCCCAACGTTATAGCAACGCTGTCTGTAGCTCCGCTCGATTCTGCACCTGGGTCCAAAACCCTTCGGATGGCGTTGAGTCCCTGTGAAGCCCGATGGGCAATTTCTGCCATCAGGCCGTTGACTGCGGGGACCAAGGAGCCAGGGGAAGTGATGGTCCTTGGTTCGGGTATGGGATCTGGCGCTGGTGCAGAGACTACTTCCGATTCTAGCGCTGGCTTCGGCTGTGGTGCTGGTGTCGGTGCCAACACCGCCGGTTCAGAAACTTGGGGTTCTGGTACTCCTGGCTCTGGAATCTTAGGTTCAAAGACTTCTGGATCAAGTAACGCCGACACCAACATTATTGGTTGTTTAGGCGGTTGTGGTGCATATTCTTCTGGTTCAGGCTTCAACGCCATGTTCAGAACTGTAACCTCCTCAGTCTCGCTAGCCTCCGCTGTCTCTTCATCTTCTTCATTTTCTTCAGGGCCACTCTTGACCACATCATCATCATTTGTATCGTCTGCCAACATACCAGCATTGGCCGTCACCGACATCTCTGCAACATGTTGTTCCGCCGCTGCAGCCTGCTCAAATTCAGGCACCTTAGGCTCCTTCGCCCTAAGGAGCGTTGGCGCGGGTGCTGAGTCAAGGGGTACAGTTAACTGTGAACTCTGGTTCGTGGCGTTAGTGCCAGGTTTGGGCCACAACAGCCGTTTGGGAAAACCAAGACTGGCCGCGATATCCTGTGGCACCGACGCATTCTCCTTCTCACACGTAACATTGCCCATGCCGACATCCTCGCGGTCTTCCTCGGCAAAAGATAGAGGGACCAGGGTAACACCGTCGATTTGCGAAGCCCTACTAGGAGGACTGTCCGCTGCGCATTGCTTTGAGCGTTCGACATGGGTCTCAAGTTGAACTTCTTGAGTGACGATTCGAGGCTCAGGCTCTGGCAGGTTAACCACTCCGTCATTGTTAGAAGAAGTTGGTGATGTAGGCTCCGACGGATTTTGGTCCTCCCGTGGAATGTCAACTGTTCCAGGTTCCACCGTTCGAATCTCCGATGATGCGTGGTTTGGTTGATTTCGCTTTTCACTCGAGTCATCATTGCTCGGTAAGACGCTGGAAAGTCTACTGCGCTTGCGAAGCGGTGGATCTCGTTGCTTCTGGCGCGTCTTGCGAAACCGAAAGCTGCCATCTGTTTGAGTGCTGCCTGGCAGTCTTTCAGTTGTTGTTGTCACTGCTGAACCAACATCGGCGGGTGTCCTGGTTGTGGAAGGCTCCTCGAGGGGCGGTTGGACAAGTAATGTTGGAGCTGGCGTACAGTTTTTGAGAGAGCTCCCTTGGAGCGGCTGCCTGAACGGAGAAGCTTTGCTTGATTCCCGAGATAAGTAAGTCTCCTCGAATAGTCTGATGGCGTGTGGCGAAAGATCAATGACCGGTAAAAGCATTGCCTGCCCTGCCCCTGGTGTGTGAAGCTCTGGTTGCGGTGGCAACTCCTCCTCTCGGACACTCGAATCCTTCAACCCAACGGTCTTCTTTTGGCGTATAGGCGTGACAATCAAGGGGGACTCGGGCGGAGGCGACAGCTCACTGGATGCGTCATCGTTAAGGCTCTCCGGCGTGGGCACTTTCGAGGGCGTGCTGACGGGCTCGGTTTGAGACGGATAATAATTGGTAGGTGTCGCATTGACAGGTATCTCGGCAAGAACCCGATCTCTCCAGTCCTGCACCCTAATAAGGCTTTCATCGTCGGCATCTTGCGTTGGCGCATCGTCAAGCTGTACAATGTTGCTTCGGGCGCTCGACAATTCAGAGGACTCGTAACGGACAGGCGGCGGTTGAGGTTTAGTCGCAGGTTTCTTCGCAGTGGTTGGGCGCTTCCTCTTTGAAGATTTGCGCACGACTGATTTTGAGCGCCAGGGGTTGGTCCATCCAGAAGCCTTCGTGAAGGGGCCAGAAAGTGAGGCTGAGATCAAGTGAAGGCGCTTCCCTTGGAGATAGCGGCGTCCTTGTGCCTCTATTCGTTGCCGTCGTTCGGCCGGGCTTTCGTACTCGTCGTCGTCGGAGCCAATGTACAACACATCTTCGGGCTCGTGGGTGGCTTCGCAATAGACGTCCTGATCGCCAAAGTGGTCGGGCTGGAGAAACCTACACTCCTGGTTGCCCTGTACCCAACCATTGGTCATTTTGGGTGGCGCCGGGTAATGATGATCTTGCGATGCAACATGGGTGAGGTTTAGGTTGAGATTATACGTGCCGATGTCGCTGGGGAGGGGGGTCGGGGTGCAATTCGTGGCGGGTTAGGGTGTTAGGAATTGAAGCTGTTGTTGACAATGGCGCTGTTGCCAGGGCCCCAAAATAGGCCCCCAAAATCGGGGGAGTGGGGGACGTGCGTTACAAACGCGTCTGCATTAATTAGACGCGGTTGCGAAGTCACATGATTATAACCTCCCCTTAACTGGTTGGCTGTCATTGGCCAGAAGCTCTCCACTCCAGACGACCTTGCATGAGCCAGCAAAGACAAAGGCATCCATCAATGGGCTACCAAGACATCTTGTCTATTTGCGATACCTTGTAAGCAATCCAATCATTGAATTATTTGTTGAACCATACATTCTCAACATATCACAAAGCCGTCGGCCGCTCCCTCATTCATGTGGGCTTAGACAACTGGGTGTCAATTCTTATCGATGCCTCGATTCAGTCCTTGTTCCCTACATCCCATTGATCTTGCTGGTCTTGCCATGCTTAATCAACAGTCCCAAACTTCACGACCGTAAAGAGCTGGCTACAGTGTCGCCACTGCTCTGCTGGTGCTTCCTTAATATAGCTTAGAGCTCTGAGTTGGAAGTGTGCCTGTCATCATTTTGGATCCGATTCTTTCTAGCGTCCTGTACAGGATATTGAATTGTCAAATTCATATACGCAGGCTTTGCCCGTGTCTTTCTCCTGTCCTGTATGATAGAAAGCCTTGGTGGAATGCCAGATCTTGTAGATGTGTCCCAGTCACCATTCCGTCGATGCATGCACATCCTGACAGTGGGCATGTCTCGTTCTAACAACTAAGCCCAGTTCGAGGCGACGTGGAATGCCCATTGATGGGATATACCACGACAAACCATGTGTTGCACTTGGCTTTGCGTAAAGATGTACGGCCAACAGGCTATCTGTCATACAGGCTCTTTATGGTTCACGTTTATTATCTATCAACTCCAATTCCAAAAGCAAGAGTAGGCGATAGTGTTGGTTTATCCTGGCCCGACTTACGATAGGCTTTTGCTTGGAAGTGGACATAGAGCTGTCTCATTCCTGCGATCTAAAGGTACCTTGCGTATCTTCCCCGATGGCTTTCAAAGTTTAGGCTGATCATGAGATAGAACGGCTCAAAGGCCTCGCCGATAAGGGGCAGATATTCACTTGACTTGCCGTTTCCGAGACGGTGGTTGGTCAGAACCGTGCTGATACCGTGCTTGAGGGGGTGAAGGCACTGTCTACGGTGTTGTGATCTGTACCCACAATATCCTGCCCCAGACTTGGCTCCTCTGACAGATTGTCACCCTTAAAATAATCTACACTTGATCTTGGACTCTTCCCTTGGCTCTCATCTTACTACCATCATCGTTAGGTCGTTGGATTCCTGCTTGGCTTCCGAAGTTTGGGATACACCATACATTCTACACCACAACAAGCAAATCAGCTGTTTGCTGACCTTAAATCGCTTTACATTGCAACATCAAATCAGAACCTGCACACACAGACATCGATAGAGAGTCGCGCAAGAGAAATACTTGGAGACAGACTCCTGGAACCAGACACCAAAGACAGACACCAAAGACAGACACCAAAGACAGACACCAAAGACAGACACCGAGGGACATACCCCTGGACAGACACCAGGACCTTGACGCCTAGCCCCCTATCAGCTTATCATCGACGACCAAGCATCATCAACAGCCGACTAATCAGCATCAATAGCCAGTATCAGGACCGCACTACCGCGCTGAGAAGTCCCATCTGAGGGTAAGCTCATCCAAGCCCTCATCACACAAAGCGCTTGCAATCGTTCAATTTGGGGAGCGAAACCTCAGGTCGCCACTATGGACGAAAGATCAAATGCTAACCCTCGGTCAGTTCTTGCACACAAACCCAAAGTAAGCCGGGTTAGCAGCTGCTGTTCTGCCATCCATCCCCGTCTGCAGACACCCTGTATTTTGGCTGAGCTTTGCGACTTTGGAATCTTGCGGAATTTTCTCCTACACTACTTGGGGCCCTGCGAACTTTTCTGTTCCCTCTGCCTTTTTTTTTTTTCACCCACCACAATTCTCGAAATATCCACGCATTCCCACCACAGACTGCTTTTCCGCCTCCAGAGAAAGACCAAAGCCATAGATATGGCTTATATGAACTCCGACTCCGAGTCGGAAGCCGGCGGTCACCCCGGCTTCAGTCACTCCCACGGCGGCGGTGCGCCGCTCTACCCCCCCTCCCCCTCCCCCCAACCCACCAAGCCCTCGCCCATCGGCTCAGAGATGGCCAAGAAGAAGGCAGCGGAGAAGAAGCTCGCCGAAAAGGTTGAGCATGCCGAGAAGAACGGCAACCCAACCCCCGCCACCAAGGTGTTAACGACACCTTCGTCGACCTTGGCCGGGGGTTCCTCCAGTCGTGAATCCTTGGTCTACAATGGCAGACCCAAGAAGAGCGCCGCCACCACTGATGCTCCCATCGTCGATCAGTTCGATCGACTTTCTTTGGCTCCGCCCCAACAGGTCGTCAAGACCACGAGCCAGATCTTCCGCGGGGCTGCTGCCAAGGTGTCGAAGAATTTCGAGGATGACGAGATCCATCATGATCACAAGGTTTGTTTATTTGCTCCCCCTTCAGTTCTGTGGCTTGGCACTAACCTCCTGCTAGGAAATGCGAAAGCAGTGTCGTTTGGTCTTGCGCCGCATCTGGGGACTGCGTGAAGGCCTGCACATGTTGCAAGATACTGCGGGTATCTCTGACGAGTTTTTGAAGCAACTAGACTACGACATCCAGGGCCTCATCAACTCCGTTTCTCAGATGATGGATGAGGGTGACAAGGTCGGCCTGGAGCTTCTTCGACTTATTGCCCTTGCTGAGTCGTGTGGAGATGAAGGCCGCAAGACTCAAGAGGACCTTCAGCGGTTCAAGAAAGAGCACGAGAGCATCGTCGAGGAGTACAAGTTCGCCAAGGAAGAGCTAAAGCAAGTCTTGACCGACAACAGGTTGGAAGTCCAGATGGCCCAGCAGAGGGTCAAGGAGCTGGAGGAGGAGCGCCTTACTCTTGACCAGGTTGTTGCGACCTACAAGAGTAAGAATGCCAGAGACTCGGAGATGATCCAGTTTCTCCGCGAGAAGCTCGAAAAGCTAGACATGGAGAACGGTTACCTGCGTGAGCAGGTTGAAGGCAAACGCAATCTCTGGATGCAGGTTCACACCGACGAAAAGGAGCGCGATGCTGCCCGAAACATCATCAAGCAGTCGTCGATGCTTGGAATGGGCCAGTCTCGCCCATTGTCACACCATGTCTCCCAAGTGAGCCTCCGTCCGGGCCCCCGGCATGGTCCGCATCATGATCAAGGCCTCCGATCTTTCCAGTCCTACAGCCAACTGCCGTCTGGCTTGTCTCCCAAGGACTCGCAGCTGATTCGGACTCCGCATGGCGGGACCTCCACGATACCTAACGGACCCCAGTCTTTGCAAAACTCTCATCTCAAGCAGATTACATCTGGCAGCACAGCTTCTGCAAACAGAATCCTGAACAGTAAGGCCACTACTGCCGATAACTGGCGTCGCTCCACTCCGCGGGCTTCAATCATCAGGGCCGATTTATCTGGCAGTCCGTCTGAACGCAATCCTGCTTCACCGTATGCTACCTTCTCGGACCTGGAGAGTCCTGCCGCGTTCAAGCAGACTGATGAAACGACATGGGCCAGAGAATTTGAGGATTTCTATAGCCTGATGCTTGGATTCTGCAACTCGCACTTCAAGCGTCTTCAGGTCAATCCCCAGATTGTTCACGCCAGCATCCAGACCAAGATACCGAGCTTGTACAATTACATGTGCACGGTCATCAACCCCAGGAGGCCGGAGGAAGGCCAAGGCTATGCCTTGTCTCTCTTGTGCGAGACCACTACGCGCCCCTACTACCTACTTCGCCTCATGCTGCAGCACATTGTCAACCTGATCTTCACCACCGACGGCTGGACTGGATTCAGCAAGGCTGTTGATGAAGAGATGGAGAGCCTTGGTCAAGTCTTGGAGTGCAGCAAGAAGCTCTCAGAGCGCGATGCAGCCAGCAAACGTTTGGCCGAGCTTGTCGCCGAAATTGAGGCAAACAAGCAAGGACCAAACTTCAAGAATCGCAAGGTCATCGAGCACAACCAGATTCTGAGGAAGATGATCGCGCCTTTCATCAAGCTGGCCAAGGCCAACCAAGAGGCCATCTTGCACGACTTGTTTACCGTCACGCAGGCCGCCTGGGAGTTGTCGTCTAAGCTGCTCAAGGCGAAGCGCACGTTCCACTACGTCTTCAACGACACGGGTGCCAAATATTCAGACGACGTCCATATGGCGGTTGAGACTCTTCTGAAGCCGGGGGATATGGCTCTCCGAAACTACAGGGTCAAGCTCTCGATCACGCCCATCGTCACGATGCGCAGCGATGAGAATCTTACCATCCGGGCCTCGCAGATTGTGAAGGCCAAAGTTTTGGTCATGCCCTAGGTTGATCTCATCACTATTGTTTCCACCATGTGTATCTATCACTTTTGGTTCCAGCAGTTCATGCGCCATTTCGTTCAATCTTTGCACTGGCAGCGCTTGATCACAGACCATCAACCTCTAATTTCCCTTTTATTTTCGGCATCCCTTCAGCATCTCAGGTGGCTATTTTTCGAGAGCCCAAGGTCTGCCTTGCTCCCCTTGGGCAATACACTTGGTATTGTCCTTTGCATTGGCGAACTCCAAAACGCCCTGTCCGTTTGGACGAGGCACCAAAAAAAACTCACCACCCAACAAGTGTGGAAAAAGATGCTTTTCCGCCGACAACATACTCGCAACATTTTTATCCACAAGTTTTCCTTTTTCTCAGCATGCACACCAGCAAGTTCTTGTTCAAGAAGAGGGTTCGAGGCTCAGCCACAGCATTCCTCACTCAACAAACAGAACGTGCAACTCCTGTGCAACATTTTTTCCCTTGCACCTTGCAAATTCGCAAGAGAAGGCGATTTCACTGGCGACCAATTTCGATTCCACAAGATGGAGAGAAAGGATCACCACACATTACTCATCCACACATACATCGATCCACTTAAGGGAGGGTGACGGGAGGGAGTTGGGGTTGGTTTCCTGGCTTTCTTTTCGGGTGATTGGATGGATGGGACAGATGGATAAATGGGGGAGATAGATAAAGATGGATAGATGGGTTGGTCTGCGCTTTTATGGGCAGGCGGTAGGCTTTTCATAGCAGTATTTAGTATGTACTTGGTAGTATCTTGTGGTTCCTTGTGATGGGTGAGTGTGATGTCCGCCTTCTTTGTTATGAGTTGTCGAATGAGTCAGATGAGGCGAGCTTGTCATCAGGTTCAAGATAGGTATCGGGCAGTTGATGTTGCGGTGTTGAGGTGTTGCAAGTTCACCGCAGAGGCGGCTTATTCTGCCTGAGTGTCAGTATCGGGACCATTTAACCTGGTGTATGTCGATGGCAAAGTGATAAAATGTGCCCCCAACTGGAATTGGGCGCATCGCCTTCCATTAGCCACCGATATGGGCAAGACATGATAATAACCTACCTAAGAGCCTCAGGACTAGCGGCTAACCCGGCACACCGGAACCATCAATGACATGCATAGGTGACATCCCTTAAGTTCATCATGAAATACATTTGCCGCATAAGGCCGAATTAACTGCGCCGCAGTTGTGGTCACGCTTGTGAAGTTGTTAAGGCTTTGGTGCAGGTCACACCCAAATCTTAACACTTATATACAGCCCCTGCCGGCCCCACAAATTGAGGCTGGGGTCTGCTGCGCCTGTCTACCCCCCTTGGGGTACAGCCTCGGGCCAATGGTAATGTTCAAAGCATCAATAGGCAAGGCATCCAACGAGGGGAAATTCCAAAATGCTCACACCTGAACCCACTTGTGATCCAGATGCGGGGTTTACTTATAGTTGGTTAGAACTCCATGTATCTATCACAAGAGGGGTTATCCAGCAATTCATCTGAAGTCTTCACAAAGACCCTGAAACTAACAGCTGACCGCAACTGCCTGCAGAGCAACAGACAGATAAACACCACCTGCTTTCATCATTGAGCAGAAAACACCCCACTTGCCAGTCTTCTGCCAGCAATATCCTTTTCAGGTTCAAATTTTGGAGTAGAAATGGCCTCTTTACAACCAGAACCCCGCGGCCGCTCTCGAGCATCCTCAGCAGCCTCTTCTATCAGGTCCAACACCAGTGACACCAAAAGAAGCTTCTTCGGCTCTCTCAAAGACATAGTCAAGAGATCCTCCCGCTCACCCTCACCAGACCCAAACAAGATGTGCAACCCCTTCTTCACCAGCGCGGCGACAGTGACGGCGAACGACATGGCAGCCGGAGCCCCGTTGTCAGAAGCACCACCCCCCTACACGGCCCAGCCCCCCCAGCCCAACCCATCAATCTCCATCGACAAACCCACCACCAACCCCCAACACCGGACCCCCTCCCCCTCCCCCTCAGCAACGTCCATCCTCTCCACCCCGGAAGACCCTTATGCCTTCCTTTCCATGTTCGACACCATCTTTCTGATTGACGACTCAGGCTCAATGTCCTCCCAAAACAGGTGGAAAGAAACCAAATCAGCCCTGCAAGCCATCGCACCTATTTGCACCGCCCACGACAGCGACGGGGTAGACGTCTACTTCCTCAACTCCAAAAACCCCGCGCACCGCTCCACGGGGTTTATAGGGAGGAAAACAGCGCAGTCGATCAACCAGCTGTTCAGCGACGTGCACCCCACAGGATGGACACCCACCGGTTCAAGAATCAGGAACATTCTCGGTCCGTATGTCAAGAGATATGTCGAGATGGTGAAGAGGGGTGTGGACCCGGATAACACGGGGATTAAGCCGGTGAATGTGATTGTGATTACGGACGGGGCGGCGAGCGATGACCCGGAGGGGGTGATTGTCAACCTGGCGAGGAAGCTGGACGAGGTTGAGGCGCCGAGTCACCAGGTCGGGATACAGTTTTTTCAGGTTGGGGATGATGGGGAGGCGGGGAGGGCGCTGAGGGAGTTGGATGATGGGTTGAGGGGGGTGAGGGATATGGTTGATACTGTGAGCTTTGATCAGAGGGGCAGCTGGGCGGATGGGGGGGGGAGGGTGTTGAGTGCCGAGGGGATTTTGAAGACGGTGCTGGGGGCGGTGGTGAAGAGGTTGGATCGGAGGGTTGTGGGGGAGAGGCAGGGGGGGTTGTTGGCGCCTAGGAGTTAGATGATGTTTTTACTTTTGGGTTGGGGTTGAATTCAGTGGTTGTGTTTGACATGCGTGTTTTCTTCTTGGGGAAAGTCATCTTAGACAGTGGGTTGGGGTTTGAGGAGGGTTGTGTGTGTGTGTTGGGGGGGGGGGGGGGGCGGCAGCGGTGATTTTATGGAATCATGAGGGTAACAACAAGACCTGAGGAGGGGAAACTAGAAAGGGGCGGTTTCTATGATACCTGTTGACTGATATATTCTGCTTATTTTCTTGACATGTTTTGTTAGTAGCTCGCGGCAGCTGAGATTCAACAGCGGAGTACCTTATCTGATTTATTACTGCATTTTGATCACGGTTCAAGTTCTCTTTTCTGTGTGTTGCAAATTGGGTGCCAGAAGTAGTGATTACATCTGTGCGGCTTGTGCTTTGTTGAGATGGCTTGAGGATGGGAGATATGCTTTTTTTCTTAGGGAGGGGGGAACGATGGGGCTGTAGGTTGGCCGGTGTGTGGTGTTTGAGGTGGATGGGAAGGTTCCATGTGCCACCTGCCTACCCACCCGCTCGCTCTGTTGGGCTGGTTGTTCGTTGGGCTGGTTGTTCGTTGGGCTGGTTATTGTGAGTTGGTGTTATATGGCGTTGCGCGATAGGCGTTTACGCCACCTGCTCGTGTTCTACCTAGCCAGTTGAGCACACTCAGACGACCATGTTTTAGTTACGCCTCCATTCAGCCACACCAAATATTACCACAACCATATGACGCTGTTGTTGTGGGGTTCGGGGGGTTGAAGTCCCCGGGGATGAGGTTGTTGCTTTGGGGAAGGGTATGGAAGGTGATCTTGACAGGAGGACACACTGTGCTCAAGTGAGCTTCCGGTAAGGTCTGATGGAACTACTGGCGGGACTGCCCGGTTGCACTAGTGATTCCTTCCATCTGAGCCAGAAAGTTACAGGTGGCATGGCCAAAGCAAAGTTGGACGGGACGGCAGCTGGTTGAGTCGTCTTTTGCAAGATGGCCGGATGTGTAACCAGTTCACTAACAAATCACCAACAACAGCACCATCCATCAGCACTTCAATAGTCGATATTCAACCGCCGCAAACATGAATTGGCGTGCCCGTGCATCGCTAATCCAAAGCCCGACTGGAGAAAGTCAATGGTGTGATTGCATTCCTCCCCCAGAGGTAAATTGTTGGAGCAACTGTCACTACTGCCAGGTAAGCTTCTCCTGTGCCCATATCCTTTTCCGGCACCAGTCTTGAGTGACGCATGGATCAGAAAATCAAAGTGGATGGGATCGATTCCAAGGGTATCCCGTGGTGCCTGGATCGCGGCAGCGGGGATCAATACTCCGATTGGAGTACTTGCTACCTGAATCTGGCGGTAGATCCGAACGACATCATGAGGCATCCGAGTTCTTCACCAAATCTCGCCGACTATTATATCAATCCTGTGCGGGCCATACTTCCGCCTCCTTGGGACCCCTACGGTTACGGTGCGTCTCGCAATCGCTTGGTCTCTGCAACTCAGCCATGGGGGCAGCCGACCCAGACGAATAACTCGGCGGCAACTGATACCAATACGCAGCAAGGTCAGAATCCCGCAGATAGGCACAAGACATGTGAATGTTCCCTGGATGATCATGAAAAATTATTTTGCGCAAAAAAGGACGTCAAATGCAATACTATCCCCCTGCCCGCCCGCGCGTCGGAATACGATGGTGAAATATTTTGTGATACTTGTCACCCGCCCACATCGTGCAGTGAGCAGAGAGAAGAGTGGAACGCCCAGCCTGGACTGGGAGCCCGGACATGTGAATGTATCGACAAGGCCAATGGACAAAAACGGGCCTGGTGCAAAAAATCTCGCTTCCAGTGCACTTGGATTCCCACGAGCGCGAGAGGTAATGTGATATATTGCCAAATGTGTCGCCAGTGGCCGGTACGGAGAGTTTGGCTCCCCTCTTGGCGCTTCGTTTCACTGATCATAGGCTTAAAATAGACATGCAGTTCCAGTAAACACGAGTACCAGTTACAACACCCGGAAACGATTGACTGAGCATAGGCTGGGACGGGATCCACTCCTCGGATGAAGATGCCAAACTTGGCTGGTTCTGGACGAAGGATAGCGGTTTTTTTTCCTTTTCTTCGTTTGATCGGAATGTGGTGGTAGAAGCGGAACACATTTTGTCATTGTTTAAAGGGGTTGGTGGATTAAAACAGAGAGTAATAGAAAAGTATGAATATTGGTGAAACAAATATCAAAAGGCTATTACCATATCTTGCTTGATCCCAAAGCCTCTTGTGGGGTGTGTGTAGGATGTCATCCTCGTGCTCCTCGCGATGCTTAGAATAATAATGAGGTTTGCTTATCATGATCACAAGCTTGGGCAGATCTGCCTTTGTGCAAATGGTATTTACTTGTCAGGATTCGCGGTCATGTATGTAGCCCAGCAAGAATTTGCTCATTTAAGATGATATTTGATTTTTTTTCTGCCTTCTTTCAACTTCTCCTGGGCCTGATTTGTATCAATACTCAGCTCTCCTGTCATAAACAAAGGAATCCAGACCTCAACGACATGTACCTATCCTACTATCTGTCACCCCACGCCATCCGATTCCTGAGCCCTGTGGGCTAGACTGTATCATAGATTCTAGTCTCGTCTGTTTTGTTCCAGTTTAATCCGAAACTTTCTCCTCCTCATCATAATCAACCGTTGTTTCAGAGTGCCGGCGAACAGTGACTAACTCGAGGAGCTTGGCGCACAGCAAGCTCAGGAAGGCTCCCAGTACAAGAGCATCAGCCATGGCGTGCTTGCCGAGCCAGACGCCCGTCAATACCGAGCAGATGATTGCTATAAGGCCGAAGTCTGCCCAGCACCGAGGCTTTTGTACGAGATGATAAACTCCTGCGAATGAGTAGACCAAGACGGCGGAGATGCGGGCTTCTGAGCTTGGATGTTGTAGATCCTGAGGCAGATAGCCTGATACTGCAGACTGGGTAAGCCACTCGTGATATGGACTGAATCCCAGAGCTTGCCCTGTCAGGTTGTTAGTCGATAGGCAATCACGCAAGGCTTTGAGATACCAACCTGTTGATGGATGAAAGTTGACTATCACGAAAGCTGAAAGTCCTCCTGCGAACATTGTGCTCCAGTCGGCGATGAGGGCAGAGATACTGGGTTCAAGCTTGATCGAAGAGCGGTTCTGTTTCTGGCGATCAACCGGGAGGAATGTCCCTCCACGTGTGCGAATTACGCATCTCCCATGGTGTGGGTGGGTTGCTCCGTTCCGAAGCCTTTGCTGATGTCGCCACCTGAGATGCCACACATTTGCTGATATGATGGACATGACGAGAAGAAGCCGAGCTGTGCCTGCTCCCCTTTGCAACTTGGACGCGAACTTCAGGCCGACTAACATCAGGGGCATGCTGCTGATGAGTCCGAGGGCGTCCAAGACCCGCTCAGATATAAAACTCATGCGATGCCTCAACGATATCTGTGCTGTGGTGGTGCATCTCGGATCGAGATTGATGCATTCTGCCCGACAGCTGGAAAAAGTAATGGGAATGTCGCTATGGAGCGGCGCCCTTGGGCAATGTCTCCAAGGTGGAAGCTTTCCTTTCATGCTGGGAGCTGCTGAGGTATAGTCCGCTGCAGAGTCACAGAAACGAGAGTCAACAGGAGTAGCGCCCTTGTGCTGACGGTTGTTGAATGGATGCGAAGAAATCCCATGCGGCAACGCAACATTCATGTCCATCGCTTCCCCAGCATTGTTGCTAGACATATCCGCGATAATATCGCGGGGTTCTTCGCTTGCAGGTTGGTTGTTGTCGTTTAAGAACGGGCGGCGAGAGGTTGTGTGTGTTGGGAAATCGTCTTCAAGTGATATCCTACACGGCAGAATTAGAAAACTCACTTTTCAGCGAACGAAGCAATAAACATGCAAATCAAAAGGCACTGTGGCCTCTGATTTAGCTCGTTCCATGATAGCTGCCCTGTGAAGTTTGGCGCAAAGGGTAATATGGATCCCAAAATAGTTGAAGTCATGCCAGCTGGTCCAAGAATATGTTGGCTGGTGTTTTGTTTTCTGAACGAAATGCCTGTTGCGTGGAGAGCGGCGGGAAGCGAAACTAAAGCAACCGATTGATGTTGAACACCACGCACAGATAGAGAAGGTTAGAAAGAGGTTTGACAGCAGGTTCCTAGATGATCCCCGCACATTGATGCGGCATCCCATTTTCTGACAGCCTCGTCCGCTTTGCAAAGAGGGGTCTCTGAGAGTTGACCGCTTCTGTTCCTACTGTGAATGCTCGCGAAATTGTTCGAGTTCAATCTGTTCTGCTGTACCTCAATTCCCCTAGTCTTCAGCAACATCTACCCTCTCGCCACCTGAATACTCTTTCACTTTCTTCGGGTTGTACACCATCTTGCCCAAATACTGGCAACCGATGACCTCCCAGAATAAGTCGAAGGAGGCCCCCAGGGAATATGGCCGACGAGACTACCTGTCAGCTTCCGAGTTGGATTTCGAAAGGTAAACCCCAGATTTCAAACCCAAATTTACACCCGATAAACAGGCCTAACATGTGTGTAGTATCGCGGGTTACCTTAAGCTCTCGGATGATGTTAAGAAATCAGACGAGGCCAACAAGCCCGACTTCCCGGTTAGCACCGACCTCCCGGTCAACGACAATCAATTTACGTTTGCTCCAGGCCAACTTAGCAAGCTTTTCGACCCCAAAAGCCTATCCGTCTTGTACAAGTTGGGTGGTCTCGCGGTTTCCGGAGGTGCATCACTCTCCTACCTGGCAACGGGCCCCTCTCACCGTGGCATGACGATCGTCCCATACGACAATATCCCCAACTCCCACGGGTTGGGGAGATCAAGTTTCCATGTGCAGGGTGGGAAAGCCGAGAATGGGTTATCTTCCAAGGGGACACAGGGTCTGATAGTGAAAGGGACTGCTCCATCCGGCCTTCAACCGCCGGATTTCGACTCTCTCGGAAACCGGCGGCAGCACGACACAACCATTCGCAACGGCATATGGGAGCAGACGAATGACCATAAACGTTTCGTTCACAAATCCTCTGCTGCGAGCTCACCTCCAATCGATGAGACAGCCATACCTGGGAGCACAACTCAAGGCAACCTCTCCATATGGCGACCACAAAATCTCGCAGCATTAGAGAGTGCCCAATGGGTAGCACGAATCACGAGCACCGCAACGCTACACCTGGACGCCATGCCCAAACTTCTCCTACCCTTCGTGCTCTTTTAGCCTTTTACCCTCAGCCTCTGAACAGCAAGAACAAGCAATTGCGACACGCCAGCAAGCTTTCTTCGGTAGTTCTGCCATGGTCACATTCATCTCGTCCGTACTCTCCCTTCAGCTCGACCAGCTCGATGATCCCCAAAAAGCAAAACTGGTCAAGGTGGTCCTTCGCGTGGCTGGCCCAACATTTCTTTCAGTTCTTGCGGTTGGATGCTCCTTTTACTGTCTCTCTGATAGAGACAAAAAGAAACCGGTTCCTATCCGTCATCTGCAGTCTAGGCCCCATTCTCTGGATGTTCCTGAAACGCAACCCTACATCTGGGGCGCTCCAGAACGGGGATGAGGGTGCTGGTGCTTGGATCGATGATGCAACTTTGGTTGGTGTCGTGGCTGTTGTCGCTGGTATCTTGAATGCAGAGCGTAGTCTCTTCGTGAGGGATGACTTGGAGGGGGGCAACCACCCCGTCCTCCCTGAATTGGAGTCCGGCGGTCGGGACGGTGCCGGCATCAACAGGAGCGGCGTTGGCCATCAGCCAGGAGGAGATGGGGGTGCCGAGATTACGTCCATAAACTGATGGCAGTTGAGCATGACTATCAGGTAGATGACGAAGCAGTGATATATGTGGGGGCAGGCTTTGGATATTAGCGATAGGGGTCTTTATTCGGCGCTGGGTCCAAGTCATTTGTATATACTGTTCTAGCTTTACTTTACTCAGATACCTCTTACGATTTTATTGAGAATATTATACCAAGCTCACAGGAGAAGATGTAGAGCCAGTGACGGTTTTTCTGGCCCTGACGACAAAGGTGATGCGTGGATTATCAAGCTGAATTTCTTTGGCTTGGTAACTGTTGGGGTGGGAATATTGAATGCGGAATTTGGACTTTGTGGACATATTACGGCTGCTTTCGCGAATGGCGAAGAGACCAGAAACGATGATGTTGATGGCACAGGTGAGACCAGCCGCATTCTTCGCAACGACAAAGAGAGTCAGCAAACACACCCTAGTGACAACAATCCTTGTTTCACCGAGTCTGGCTTCATGTCCGTCGCCATGCAGACTCTGGCGGGTACGAGTGGGTAAAAACGCAGGAATAGTTTTGAGGTTGAAGAGAACTTGCAAGTCTCTCATGATGGATAACGCCCTGGATATAAGATAGCATTGCCTCCTGACAGCTCTGTAGCCCCGAGATTACTTTTCATACGAAACACCGAATTTGATGAATAGAAAGACAATATGGTCAGTTTAATATGCAATGTAAACCGCCGAGTTCCAACACCGCTCCAAGTGATAGCGAGGAACCAAAGACATCAAAAGAAGAAGTGGTCATAGCTCCTAGCTTCAACGGAAGGTCTTGGCGTTACTTAGGTCGCTTTCATGACCCACCACAAGCTCCATCGAATCCCTTCCCCACCACAGCTTTCTGTGGTTCGATCTCTCAAAGAAAGCCAACATCAGACAACCTCCCCGCCCTGCCATTGACAACTTCACCAACCGTCGCACTCATGAGGCCATCCTTGTCAGGTGTCGCGGCATCCAAGCCGTTCACCTGCCTCCCATGTTTCCTCCGAACCTCAACCAGAAACAGCTTCCAGCGCCCCGTCCTCACCTACACAGAAAGAACCACCCCCAGGTTATCAACAGCGCAATTCTCCCACAGCGCCCGACAGCTCCACGCCCAAGAAGCCCCCGACCAAACCGCCGCTTTCAACACAGCCGCCTCCCTCCGCCCAACCACAGCCCCTAAACCCCTCCTCGATATTAAGCACATCCGCCTCAATCCCGACCTCTACTCCCAAAACTGCATCGACAGAAACTATAAATCCCTCGCCGAATACCCCCACAAGATCAATACCTTGTTTGCGGAATGGCAAGCTCAGCAAAAAGCCGGCCGCGCCCTCAGGGAAAGGGGAAATATTCTCCGCCGCCGGTTGGCTGGTCCGGGCGGCGCCTCCCGTGACGATCCCCGCGAGATTATTGACGAGTTTGGTGACATGAGCCGGGAGGAGATTTTGGAGGAGGCGCGGAAACTAAAGGCTGGCTTGGCGGGGATTGAGGAGACGGAGGGAAAGCTGCAGGCTGAGATGGAAAGATTGGCGCTGGCGATCCCGAATTTGACGAGTGATGAGACGCCCCGCGGGACGGAGCCGGAAGTCATGAGTTATATCAACAATCACCCCGAGCCTGAGCCGGCGTTGTCGGATAGAGTGTGGAGGAGTCATGTGCATGTTGGTGCGGAATTGGGACTTTTGGACTTTGCCGGGGCGGCGTCTTCTTCTGGGTGGGGGTGGTATTACCTTTTGGATGAGGCGGCGGATTTGGAACAGGCCTTGATCAGCTATGCTTTGGCTACGGCTACACGTGCAGGGTGGAGGCAGGTCTCCCCTCCGAGCGTGGTGTATGGGCATATTGCTGCTGCTTGTGGGTTTCAGCCGAGGGACGCGAATGGGGAGACGCAGATTTACGCTATTGCTCAGTCGAGGGAGGACGCGGCGAGGGGGAAGCCGGAGTTGGTGCTGGCTGGGACGGCGGAGATTCCATTGGCCGGGATGAAGGCTGATACTGTGCTGGACGAGGCTGATTTGCCATTGAAGAGGGTAGCGGTTTCACGATGCTACAGGGCGGAAGCGGGGGCTAGAGGGAGTGAGACGAAGGGGCTTTACAGGGTGCACGAGTTCACAAAGGTGGAGATGTTTTCTTGGACGCTACCGGATCAGGTCGAGACGGAGGAGATCTTTGACGAGATGATTGATCTCCAGACGGAAATCTTGGGCGGGCTAGGGCTACACTGCCGGGTCTTGGAGATGCCCACTGCTGATTTGGGGGCGTCGGCTACGAGAAAGTGTGATATTGAGGCGTTCTTCCCATCCAGAAGGGAGCGGAATGATGGCTGGGGAGAGGTTACGAGCGCCAGTATTTGCACCGACTACCAGACTAGGAGGTTGGCGACTAGACTCAAGACCAAGGAGGGGAAGCTGGTGTATCCGTGGACTGTCAACGGGACTGCTCTTGCTGTTCCGAGAGTTTTGGCGGCGATTTTGGAGAACGGGTGGAATGAGTCGGAGAAGAGTGTTTTGATCCCTGAAGTGTTGCGACCTTGGATGGATGGGAGAGAGAAGATTGGGCCGAGGCACCGGATGAATTAGGAAAGGAGGGTTCTCAAGGTCAAGGTTGGGGAAAACAATGGCATTGCGGGAGGAGGTTTTCTGTATTACTGCCCGCATCACTAGTGTGTACTTGTACTTTGTATTGTTAAATGTGGGGGAATGAACCTGATGTTGATGATCATGGCGTGTGTCTCGATGTTCTGAGTTGTGGGTGTTTGGTGTTTTGGTTTCTGGATCATTCTTTCAAGCGGCTTGCGTTTTCGGTGTTTGGATGCAAGGGTTTTTGCCTGATGTTGGCTCAGCAACATTGAGAAGGGAAACTGACAGGAGAAAGGAGCAAAAGAAATGCAGGCAGGCCCAAACCGACCAAGAGTGGGCTTTGCTAGACCTCTTTGTCTGGGTTTGAAGTGTTTCTGCTTCTGCAGTGTTTGACAGTCCGGATTTTGTGGGGAAATCAGTTTGGTTTTGCTTTGGCAAATGGTTCGGGTATGCTCGATGCTGATTCTGCGCTTGACAGCTGAGAGCAGGTATAAAGCAGTGGTGACTCTGCTCCTTGCTCGTCAACATTTTCTTCATGCTTTCCAACATCGAAGTTTGATCTCATTGGAATATCCGTCTACTCATCCTATATATACCTATCCATTTCACCACGATTCTGTCTCAGAAAGACAGATGTCAACGAACCAGTTCCTTCATCAACCACCTCACAGTAATTGGTCACGAGCACGTCTTTGCACCGTTCGACCGCTTTCTTCATCGGCTACAACAGAAGACAAACCACAGTTGAGAGCGCCATTGCAGAACCTTTTGCCTCTCCTCGAGTCCTTCCACCTACTCTTGGATTTCACGCCAATCAGCAGCACATCAACTGAGCGGCACCTACCCATGAGGATGCACCATGACTCCCCGGTGTACCTCACTTGGGTTTGCCGTCTTCCAGGGTATTCCACCATCCCGATGTCAGCCCCTGTACATTTTGGGCATGGCGTTGTGCCAACCATATCTTCATGTAGAAGGAATCTCAAGTGGGGGCGATGAGCACTCGTCCATTCCTAGGAGAGCAACAGACTGTGCGACAGAGCCGTCTTTTCAACCAAGATCAAGACAGATCAATTCCTCTCGTCGAATACAAGGTCGGGTCAATTCTCCATCAGTTAGCACATCTTCCAGTCTTTTCTACCAGTTGCGTGGTTAGTCTTTTATATATATTTCACCATCATGTCCTCCCTTCAAGATTCTCCATCTACGAAGGGCACCTACCTACCAACCTTCTTCCTACCAGCTCTAGATCCATGGGCTTATGATTATGGACGAGACGGAGGCAGGAATCGGCGGCTTTATGTCCGGAAAGCCGAAGTTTGGGCAGAGATACAGGGCGTCTGTTCTGTTCATTCTTTGGAGTTTTCTAAAAAAGATTGCACGTCACTCTACCTCATCTACCTAGGCTAGTGCTTTGACCAAACGATCCCGATATCTAACACTGCAGGGCTTTTGGTTGGAGAGCCGGGAGCCTTCGTGCTGTTGACCTGGAAAGCAACGAAGCAGAGGACTCCGTGGTGCTGTTCCCTTCATCTTGGTGCTGTCTCAACCCGCGGCTTACTACCCTGAAGAAGAAGGGACGTGAAGACTGGTATGTGTGCTGAACAATGATCTCGACGGTCTTCCATCAAACTTGAAGGTTCAAGTGGCCAGATTAGCTAACCTTCTTGTTGTTGACAGTCTTTCTACTCAAGACCGCCAAGCCCGACGGCTTCCGTCTGGTCACCTCGTCGTCTTCATCGTCTTGACATTTCGGATCTTCAAAGATCGGCGTCAAGAATCTTTGATGCCATCATTGATCAAAGCCAGATGGTAGATGGCACTAGACGAACCAAGAATGGCACCAAGCAGAGTGTATACGTAGAAAACCTTTCCGACGTCCAACTTAGCGTCTTGTCTCAGGTTGTTTAGACATCATATAGCCCCATACCTACCCTACCTTACCTCCTGCGGTTTGACCTTTGGGGCACGGCTCGGATTATCACCTCCTGGATCCGAACCTGTATATTTACACTTCCGCTCCTCCGCCAAAGAACCTGGAAGATCACTGCGTTGCTGTCCCACAAAACCCGAGAAACCCCCCCAATACAATTCGTACATCTTTTGTTCTTGTCAATATACCACATCATTACGCATTAATCGGGGACACCTATGGATTTCTGCACCAAATGGTAGCTGCGACTTATTTAGGCTTCATTCTTTTGGCAACGACATACCGAACAGCACTCTGACAGCAACTTTAGGTCTTTTATTGTCACAAAGCAGGGAATTTTGCTACTAATCTAATTCATGAGATGCCTTGTCATTCTCACCTTTAGTTTCTATATATATAGTTTACCTACTTTACCAACTTCCCTTTCACCTTTACCTTGGTGTCTTTTACTCACCACCCAAGTCGGCAACTGGAACCTCGCAAAGACGACACCT